GGCCAGACTTTTGACATCCGCAGCACACCCTGTTTTGTCTTGGCGAAGACTCATTGCTTTGGGAGCTCCTGGACATGCCGTTTATGGATATGTTCGAGCAGGAGAGTGGTCAACTGCTCATCGACCGGCGACGACATGCAGCACCATTGGAACTCCTCCGCTTCTTCACGTTCCATAGACCAAATCCATTCGTACAGCTAAAACTTGTGTGGGGAGACAAAGATCTGTTTCGATTGGCCTGGCTGAAGCTGGACGTACCGTTCTTCATGATCCAAAGTCCCCCAGCAGTAGCTGGAAAAGCGATTAACGGGTCGCTTTGCGGCATGACGATGGTGCAGTATGACGCTCAAGGAGAGGTCTTGTTCCTTCATCGCAACTCGAACAAATTGACTGGAGGCAGGATACGCAGCCCAGCGAACGAGAAGCTCAAGGCCACTCGGAAGGAGCACAAAACGGAGATGTCTCAACTGAACGAAGAGTCCTTGAGCTCCGACTACCCTGATGCAGCGATCTGAACGCAGTTATTATCATTCCGCAGGTCTTCACCTCGTTCCAAGTATCAAATCGAGACCTATCACGTCGACGAGATCTCAAAGGACCAAATCTGCTACTACATCGACTTCAGCGAACATTTTTACGCTCAAGAGATCGCTAACCTTAGTTTCTCCGACTTGAAGACGCACCTTCGCCGCTTTGCTATGGACACAGGTCAGCTGCATCAGGCCAAAGTAGATGCGATCGCACAAGCGCAACAGCAGCACCGCAAACCATTCCGGTTACAAGGAGTTGGCAATTGAACCATCCAAACATAATATGAATACTGTTGTTCGTGTATTTTTTTTTTAATATTACAGTGATGCACCCCGCTTCACGGGGGTTTGACCATATAAGATTTGCAAATACATCAGATTTCATCACAGAAACCTGAGGATATTTCTCATCAGAAGCACTATATCCGGAAGTTTATCAAAGGCCCGAGGGCGCGAAAACGGGATGCAGCACTGTACATGAATTGTAGACGCACAAGTTGAAATTCCGGATCAGAAATGATTATGAACCAGTAAAGTTGACCCACCGTCGTCCCGTAGGCACCAGATGGTTCAGCTGGCATAGAGACACGACGCCACGGCACACGACGTCTTGTCGTGGCTCACTGTGAGCGGGGGGAAGCGGGGAAGCGTCAGTTGACATTCTGCTCGATGGAGGCTGCGTCGTGTCCACGACGATGGGGGCCTCGCTGCCTGCAGATTCTGTTGCTCGGCAGCATGTTGTACGCTACACTGACTCTGGGCTGGGTCATTTGCAGTGTACACTCGACTGGTAGTCAGGGAGACGCTGCGTCAATGGAGTTTGCTTCAGTTTTCGAGAAAATGCATCATCCAGTTATGAACGCGCTGCAAAAGATCAAGGACAAAGTGGAGGAGATCCAGCGCACGCCTTCTCCGCAGGAGCTAGAGGCGGTGGAGCACGCACGCTCCGTTCCGAACCTTCCGAGCAGGGACATGCAGTGGAAAAATATTACATGTATTGGGTGGCGAGCTACAGGTAATTGCAAGCCCGATGGACCACGAGAGATCGCGAATGATTTAACCTGTGACGAACTAGTTCCTGATGGAAGCTCTGGGTACTGTGAGGTTCAGGACGTGAACACAGGAAAGCGATTTCGTGTCATGCGACGAACGTGCGCGAAATACAAGAAATCGCAGGTTTTTCGATGCGCCGATGCTCATCAGTTCGTAAACTACCACATCGAAGCGCTCACTGCCGTCAAATCTGCGATGGGATCGGATTTCGCGCTACCCAACGTCCAGACTGACAGCCATGGTCAAGATGGAATCGTCATGGTGGTGTATCCCAAATTAATCGCTAGTGCGTATGCTACTATCCGCACTCTGCGTGACGTGCTGGGCTGTCGTCTTCCCATCGAAATTTGGTTCCGACAGGACGAGATTGATCGAGTACCGAGATCCCTCATTCCGCTTCAGCAACTAGCACAGAATGAGACTGTAAGCAAGATTATTTTTCGAGAGATCAACGACTCACAGGCTGTTCGATTCGGAGCCAAGATATTTGCGCTTTACAATAGCGGATTTGAGCGTATCCTGTTTCTCGACGCTGATAACGTGCCTGTGCGAGACCCGGCGTATTTGTTCAAGTCACCTGAATTTGAGAAGACTGGTGCTGTCTTCTGGCCGGATTACTGGAACCCGCACTATACAATTTTCCACCTCCATGAAGACTCGTTACTGTGGGAACTTCTCGACATGCCATACGTCGACATGTTTGAGCAAGAAAGCGGACAAATGCTAATCGATCGACGAAGGCACGCTGCACCGCTCGAGCTTGTACGCTTCTTTGCGTTCCACCAGCCAAATCCCATTGAAAAGCTCAAGCTTCTATGGGGTGACAAAGACCTTTTTCGCTTTGCCTGGATCAAGTTGACTGTGCCCTTCTACATGATCCAAACACCACCCGCTGTCGCGGGCACAGTGAACGGTACATCATTTTGTGGCATGACAATGGTACAGCATGATGCGAAGGGCGATGTAGTATTCCTACACCGCAACGCGAAGAAACTCACGGGTGAAGTTTTGTATAAGCCTGTGAACTACCACATTGAGGCCAGGAAACGAATCAGGTCGAGGTGGAACAAGCAGGGGATTTACAAGATTCCAACGGAGGATGAAGTGGTCGCAGAGCTTAAAATTATGAAGAAGACGCTGCCACCAACTCTTGAGCCTCCCGAACCCGACGGGATCGCGGACCAAATCATTTGGACGCATATGCTATCGTTTCGCAACGACGCGCCTCGCTTGGAGTACAAGGTCAAGTCGTTCTCTGCACCACCCCACTTCCCAGAGAAGCAGATGTGTTACGGTGAGCGCGAGTTCGGGAGAAGCAAGTATTTCGATATGCAGAGTTTCACTGAGCTGAGTTTTTCAGGTCTAGAAACACATGTGAGGCGGTTTGCCATGGAAGCAGCGCAGATTCGCCACGGTTAACAACGTGAACAAGTACACATACAATGTAGTATGTCATACTTTAATTAATTTATTAACCCTTCGTGAAATGAAACATGGGCACGCCGATGTTACAACGTACTTGTACATACTTAAGCAACCGATACTCAGTACATTTTTGTTAGGAGTATTGAAGTTAACAATGGATTTAATAAAGATAATTGATGAATTGTTAATAAGATAAGTTATCATAAGCAAATCAAATTGTCCAAGGTGTACGGACATCGTCAAGGATAACTATGGGTGATTACCGTCAGGTGCAGGACCAGTTAGTGCGATAATCTTTACGAGCTTCTTCAATATCGATCGAGATACTAGTACCTATCGATATTCATTTTGCAGAGTTTGATCTGGGCTAGTTTTGCTTGTATTCATCTGCAGCATTAGCCACGCTATTAATACGTGTACCAGGAGAGGCTGGTTGTACTGTGGACATTTTATTAGTTTTTGCTGAAGAAGGGTATGTATGGTCCGCAAAACCCAAATAAACTATTTTTGTAACAATTTGCTTGCTGCCGAAGCTTAAAGAGATGGCCAGGATCAACCCTTTTAACATTCGAGATAACATCATCGTCATCTTATGCCACATCTCGCATGGAATTTCTATCTATTAAGAGTGTCCGTACCGGTGGAGCTATTTCACCAAAATGAAATCCTATCCATAACATCCAAGACACGGCCTCGTCAAGCCGGGCTTGGGTGATATACAGCTGTGTGACACAAATAGCGATTACATACGTACCGCGGATCGGCGCATCAACCCGTCATCGTGGAAACCATCCCAGATCGCCATTGGCAATGCCGTTAGCAATGGCAATAATTGCCAACGGTGATCACTCCAAACTTGCTTTAGCTGAAACTACACGAAGCTGAATCGGTACTAAGCAAAGTACAGTAATAATAGAACAATAGAACTGTCTGCTACATACACTACGATCCGCAGTCTGCGAATCCATGACTCAGTGATATGCAAAAAAAAAAAAAAAAAAAAACGTTACGCTGTCGGCTTCCTCGTTTGTGTCGTAGGTACAATTTCAGAATCAGTGTACCTACGTACGCCTGCATCTGCAGATTCTGCAGACCTATGGATAAAGCAACTTGTCGTGTCCGCGAGCCGCTGTTTGCTGCAGCGCATCGGGCCTGTGGCCTCACCAGCTGAAAAACTCGGAACAGATTGGCAGGAGAAATCCACAATCCGGGTCGCGGGTATAGCGAGGCTTCGACCTGAATGGCCCCGATGAGCTGCAGGATTCAACTTGTCACTGCTTCAAGCGCACTACGATCACACCACTTGAGATTGCGACCGTCAGTACACGGACTCAAGCAACATGAAGCTTGAAACGATGCCTACTGCACTACCAATATATTCTCAACCACCGCACGAAACGGAGCCACTCATCGAGATACATTCGAGTCCCATCCGTGTGCTATCCGAACGGGTCGTGCGATGTTGGAAACAATGGCCTCGCGCCCTACTCGTAGTAGCTGCGTTCGTGTACGTATCGGCGCTAATTGTTTGGGCATCCAACAACTCGGACAAGCACATGGATAATCAACAAACTTCTGCTCAAGATGCAACTCCAGTTAAGCCCTTTCCAACAGGGGAAGTGGTGTCACGACGTCTTCAGTGCGTCGCGTGGCGAGCGACAGGCAAATGCCGACCGAACGGACCTCGTGAATCCCAGAACGACAAGAAGTGCTCGGACGTCATCGGTGCTGATGTGTCAGGATTCTGTGAAGTTGAAGACATCGATACAGGGGATCGATTCCAAGTAATGCGTCGGCACTGCAACAGCTTGAAGGGCAACATCAAGTTCCGTTGCTCTGACGCTCTAGCTTTTGTCAACTATCGCGTCGAAGGACATGCTGCCGTTGCTAAGGCTCTTGTTCCTAATTTCTCGCTGCCGCATGTGCCTGAAAACAGTGGGGCACCTCGCGACGGTATTGTGATGGTAGTTTACCCAAAGTTGCTCGCCAGCGCCTACGCGACGGTGCGTGTTCTTCGTGAAGTTTTGATGTGTCGCTTGCCTATCGAGATCTGGTTTCACGTCGATGAAATCGGAGACGACTATGCGCTATTGGCACCATTGCAGCAACTCGCCATCTTCGTCGGTGACGTCTCCTTCCACCCAATGTACAACCCGCGTGCTAAGGGCTTTCTATCTAAGGTATTCGCTATCTACAACAGCTACTTCGACCGTGTACTCTTCCTGGATGCAGATAATGTGCCTGTGCGTGATCCGGTCTTCCTCTTCGATACACCCGAATTCCGAGCGAGTGGTGCTGTGTTCTGGCCTGATTTTTGGCATCCGCATCACACGCTCTTCAACTTGCACGCTCGATCAATGCTGTGGGAGCTATTGGACACACCGTTTATCGACATGTTTGAACAGGAGAGCGGTCAGTTGCTGGTGGATCGCACTCGACACGCTGCGCCGTTAGAACTCGTGTACTTTTACGCTTTCCACGAGCCTAATTTCTTCAACAAACTGGAAGTTGTGTACGGCGATAAAGATCTGTTTCGGCTTGCGTGGATGAAGCTCAAGACTCCATTTCACATGATTGAGACTCTTCCAGCAATGGCAGGCAGGGCTATCAACGGTTCTTTCTGCGGTATGACGATGGTACAGCACGATGCTGATGGCGAAGTGCTGTTCCTACACCGTAACCAACACAAACTGACTGGCGAACGCGATGAACGGATGGAGAAGGCAGCTTTAGAGAACACGGTGGTTCCCCCAGAGGAAGCACTGGGTGCTCCACACCCAGACGGATACCCGGACCCAGTGATCTGGACGCACTTGCTGTCCTTCCGCAAAGATGGCAACCGTAAACTCTACTCAATCGACGCGTACCGAGCTGCACCTCAATTTCCGCAGTGGCAACCATGCTACGGTCGGCGATACGTGGAGAAGCAGAAAATGTTTGAACTGCGCGAGTTCGCAAACTTCAGCTTTGCTGGAATCGAGACGGACATACGTCACTTTGCCTTGGATGCAGCAAGACTCCGGCACGCTCAGAACGTGGCGTGGATAGGAGCACGTCCAAATAACTCTACTACCGGCCAAAGCGTAGTGGCATAGGTACTTATCTCTATCGGATACGATAATTTAGTTTTTTGTAGTTATCTACATGCGTTCTATTGTAGTTTCCTGTCCATAATACGAGAAGACTGGTGATTCTCGAGTAGTTGAACCCCTTCCATAGCAAACCGCCGCAGGTGTGTCTCCAGTCCAGCAAAACTGAGGTCTGCGATTTTCTGAGCGTAAAAGTGCTCGCTGTCGCTGATGTTGCGCTGTCCGTAGCATCGCTGCCACTCTGGAAAATCGGGTTGAGCAGTGTAAGATCGGATTCGGTAGTCAACTCTACGCGAAGTATTTCTGAATGTCCACAAGTGTGTCCACATGGCTGGATCGGGTAGATTGTCCGGTTCAGGCGGCTCTAATGTCGGCGGAGGCGTTCGCATTAGATTCTCAAGTTCTGCTTGTACTTCTTCATCATTGATAGTAGTAGGAAGCCCTTGATCTAAACGTTTCAAACGGGCCTGCCTTCGCGCTTCAACTTCGTAATTGATCTCTTGACGTTTCACACGTCCAGTGAGTTTATTGGAGTTGCGATGAAGGAAGAGTACGTCTCCATTTGCATCATGCTGAACCATAGTCATACCGCAAAAAGATTCATTGACAACCTTGCCGGCGACAGCGGGTGGGGTCTGGATCATGTAGAACGGCACATTCAACTTAATCCACGCGTACCGGAAGAGATCTTTATCGCCGTATACGAGCTTAAGCTGGTCAAAATGATTTGGACTGTGGAACGTGTAGAAGTTCACAAGTTCCATTGTAGCCGTATGGCGACGGCGATCAATCAGCAATTGACCGCTTTCCTGTTCGAACATGTTGACGTATTTCATGTCCAGCAGTTGCCACAACAACGAGTCTGCCATAATATGGAAAATAGTGTACTGAGGATGCCAGAAATCTGGCCAGAAGACTGATCCAGTCCTCACAAACTCCTCAGACTCAAACAAGAAGGCCGGGTCACGCACGGGTACATTGTCAGCATCGAGAAACAGCACCTGATCAAACGCGCTGTGGTATAGCGCATACACCTTTGCTGCAAAGCGGAATGCTCGTCGATCTGTAATCTCTCGAAACGTAATGTCACCCTCGACTTCTTTCCCCGCCAGGCCTTTCAATGGCTCTAGAGCTCCTGGTACCCTCATCAACTCATCGCTACGGTACCAAATTTCGATCGGTAACTGACAGTTGTGTACATCTCTCAACGTTCGAACCGAAGCGTACGCACTTGCCAACAGAGTCGGGTATACCACCATAACGATTCCAGCTTTCGGTTCCTCGTTCTCGTCCACATTAGGCAAAGTGTAACCCGGTGCGATAGCCTTCTCTACCACTTGCCTTCCTTTGGCATGGAAATTCGCGAAATCCGATGCGTCCGAGCAGAAAAACTTGGCTCCCTTTTTGACTGTACTACATCCGCGTTGCATGACTCGAAACCTTTCTCCTGATTCGACGTCTTCGATCTCACAGTAGCCTGAAACCCCATCCTCTACTCGCCGGTTGCAAGGTTTATCGTTGGCCACGTCGCGCGCTCCGTCCACACTGCAGCCAGTTGTGGCTCTCCAGCCAATGCATTTGAATTGGCGTTCTAC